ATTTGATTTCCCCTTAGTCCTACTTTTTCCTTCCTGCTTGCTTGTAGAGCCACCCATGATGTATTAGAGAAAAGCTTTCTCTCTATCTCTGTGGAATTTTTGTTCTTCTATTTATCTGCAAAGATGCTGAGTTTCAATCAATGAAGAGAAATATGATTATTTTGTGAGTGAAGAAGCTCCACATTGCGGCTTTGCAGTGTATTTTATATTATATCAGGTTTTACACTTATCTTAATACAATAACAGAAAAAATTATGGAATGTCTTTTAACAAAACCAAACCATTCTCATTCTCATGTGGCTTGAGTTTGATAAAAAAAAAAGACAAGAAGTACAGAATAGGGAAACAAGTGAAAATGAATTGAAGTTGTGTTTTTTTTTTTTTAATAGAACATGAAAAGCATCATTTCTCCTTCAATCTTGCTCATTAATGTTTGTGGGCTTTGATTGTTTGTCACATGCATAATAAACATGGACCCATCCCTATCTTTTTTCTTTCCAAAATTTATTACTTCACATTCGTTTAATAGTTTTATTTTTTTTCTTCAATTTGGTTTAAATGGTTTCTTCAATTATGATAAATGAGTATACCTGCATTGTTGGTTTAAATATGGTCAACTAGTAATGGAGAGGAAAGAAGACAAGAAGAGAGACACATGTCTAATCAGATTGACAATGTAGAGACTGAATAGGTAGCTATAAAGTGAACGAGATAGGTTCTAACATCATCAATCAGATCATTGCACTCTTCTACCTTCACGTGAATTTCCCTGTTAATTTGGGTTTTTGTCTCCATCTTTCTTATCTTTTAATCACACCTTCTCTAAACAAAAACACATATTCTCAATATATAATCAAAATTTTCTTTATTGGTTTTTTTCTTTGTGCAATCTCGATGAGTACGAGTGGTTGTAAAAAAACTCGAATTTTTATCCAAAACTAAACCGAATTCGCACCTGAACCAAATCAAATTTCTTCGAACCCAAAGCAAAATCTTGATTTTATTTGAAGTCATATTTCAAAACCAAACTAAATGCTCATGCCTACTTGGACCAGACTTGAAGCTCATTGAGGTCGGACTTGGAGAAAATAAGATGTTCTATGGATCGTTACAGAAGTTCCCTTTGTAGTTTATCTTACCGTTTAGACTTTTACATTTTCGCAACATGTCGGATTCTGACCGCAACTACCAAACCTGCACTGTGATTTTGATCCAATTTGTAAACCAAACAAGTAACAATATATACACACACAATGCAAACTTGCAAGCATTTTTTTGTATGTTTTGTAACATTTTGAGAC